GGAGGCCAAACTGGAGTTATTCTGTAGCTGGGCTGTAGGCAAGAGAACTAGGCTAACCAAATGATTTTTCCCTAGAATTATGTAGCATTGCTCCCAACAAGTGTGAACAAGCGCGGGGAGGAGTACGGAAGATCGGTGGGAGGCTGTGGAGGAAGGGAATGCGCGCGTTTACCTGAAAGCAGAGTGGATGTGTTGGTGCAGGAAACAGCGCACTGCAGGGTTGGCTATTGGCTAGGTTGGGGCCAGGCACTCCATAGGAGGTTCAACAAATACCTGTTGAATGAGAGGTGGCAGAAATGAATGAAGAGGTGAAGGGGGAAAAAAAATAACTGAAAAAGGGTCAGGGATTCAGGAGAACAATATGATTTCATGAGGTGCAAGACGGTAGACGCTGTTTCAAGGGGGACCAGGGAATGATCAAGATTAAGGTGAGATGCAAGAAAAACGGGAATGGAGTGCGAGTGGGAAATTGAATATGGAACATCCGGGAGAGTACAAATTGAGTGGGGGCGGGGGTGGGGGACAAGGCATAAAATCCTGTGTGGGGAGTGAATGAGTGCAGGAGGTTAGGGAGACAATTGCCGGAGTGAATGCAAATTGGGTTTAGCAGAGTGCATGATGATGCCCGAGAAGGGAATGCGGCAGTTGTTGAGGAGGATGCAAGAGCACAGTGTATGCCTGAAAGTGGAATGGACGGTGGCGTGAAGGGAAGCAAGGAGAGTCATGATCAGATCGAATGTGTATGGGTCCCGTGCCAAGAGGTTCTAGGGAGGAGGCAGCGTGGGAGTGGGGCTGCCTGGGAAGAAGGCTTATGTGAGTGAGGAGGCTGGGGTGAAAGATCCAGAGAAAGCCCTGGGGAAAGAAGGGAGGACAACGTGATTCAAGCAGTGAGCAACCGCAATCATGGCATCATTGCCCAAATCAGGGGCGAAAAGCATTTCTGCCTCTTCTGGGCCCGCGAGTGTGACAGTTGTACCCTCTTCTCCTTTGGTGTCTGACAAGGGGAGGGGTCAGGCATCCTCCACAGGTGACTAACCGACTAACCTTAGGCCTTCAACCCCCCCACCTTATCGAACAGCGCAGGGCCTTGCCTGTTCTGAGTGCCTTGAAGAGGGAGCAGAGGGCACAGCTAAAGAAGCAGCTGGCTCAAAGACTGATAAGGACTATGGCTGCCACCCCCACATCTCGCACTCACATCAAGAAGTTGGCCATGGAAGCAGAAGTTCTGAGTGAGTGTGGCCTGCGAGGGAGCCTGGGTGTGAGTGGAGTATACATATGACTGGGTCTATCCCCAGTCCCGCCACCGGATTGAATTGCGGAGTGGCTTCGGGCAAGCACTCCTGGGACCTCCCCCAGTCCAAGTATAAAACATCCTCAGGGTTACCTGTCACGTGTTTGTAGGACGGAGAGAGCTGGGGGCTTGGAAAGGTCCGTGGTGAGATGAGACCTCGGAGTGAGGGTGCAGTATATTGGGGTGTGGTGGCGGGTGGTGCAGGGGAAAAGGCTCATGAACGCTGTCCCTGGTCTTTTATAGCTGAGAAGGGAAACACTGTGCCCCAGCCTGAGGCCCGCCCCTGTGCAACCCCCCAGGAGGTAAGGAGAGTCTGCTGCCAGTTTGGGAGGCTCCCACCCAGCCACTGCCCAGACCCCTTTCACTGTGGAACCCAAAGGCAGGGGTCCCACCTCCCACCCTACCACCAACTTGCCATGAGAACCTTGGGAGAACTCATTTCTCCCTGGGCCGCAGTATCCCCAGGTGCAAAAATAAAACGTAAGACTACCTGGTTTTCAACGTCTTCACAGCTCTGATGTTCTGGGCTCCTGTCCTCATCCCCAAAGACGCCCATACCTCATCTCTCCACAGCTGACCGAGTACCCGATTCTTACCTGTGATCTCTGCCCCTGCAGGAGAGCTCCCAGGGGCCTCTGCTGCTCAGCTGGCCCCTAGAGCCTTCATCTCTGCCCTCTACTCCAGCCATCCTGGAGCAGCAACTGGTGGCTTCTCTTTCTGGGGAGCCTCAAGGGCACCCTGCCCTGCCCAGCATGTGAGTAGAAAGAGGACCACGGAGCTGCTCCAGTCTCTAGTATTCCTGTGCCCAATCTCATGATTGTTGCCATGGGAAGTAGAAGGAGGAAGGGGAGGATGAGGAGGGAGGCAAAGGGATAAGGGAAAGAGAAGGCAGCGTCAGTCTGAGGACTGACAGCGGTGGGGCCGGGGGCCCTCCTAACTATGCCATATCCTATTTGTGACACTTTGGACCCATGACCACTTTTCAAGCCTCCGTTTCCATGTGTGTGTGTGTGTGTGTGTGTGTGTGTGTACGTGTGTACTGGGGAAAGGACTCTACACCTACAGAATTGAAAAGAGGACTAGCACAAAGGCTTGCCACACAGTGGGCCTTCTGCATGAGGGCGTTGTTATCCCACATGAAACAGATGCAACTTGATAGTGGGTCCTGCTGAAAAGCAGGACCCTGAGGGTGAGAGCCTCAGAGGGCCAGGGTAATGTCCAGAGGCCAGTAGAGAGAGGAAGCTTCCTGGAGATGAGCAGGGCTTGTCTTTCAAGACCCATGGGGGACTGGGTAAATGGAGGCAAGACCCAGTCCTTGAAAACGGACAGTGAGCTCATCTCTCCAGGTGCTGTGCAGATTAAAACACAGACACCTGTGATTCCCCCATCATCTTCACCCTGGCCCCAGGAGGAGAGAGCTGGTAGGAATTAGTGTCTCAGGGAAGATGTAGAGAAAGGAGGTGTGGAAAGGAAACCGAGCCAAGCAGGAGAAAGGATCTGCCCGAGCCACAAGGCCCTGCAGTCATTCGAATTCCTGCAATCTTGGTGTGGCCACCTCCTGCCCCTTGCAGTCTACTTGGTGTTATGCGTCCGCCAGAGGGTTTAATCCCCTGGCCTCTCCTCTCCTTGTTTCCAGGTGCCCAAGTCTGATCCTCAATAACTGTGCCACCCCTGACCCTCTTCTACTGCAGCCACAGGTCCTGGGAAAGAAGTGGGGTCCAGAGGCCTGGGAGGGGTCAAGCGTAGTCGATGGGAACAGCAGAGGGGCTTGGGGGTGCAGGTGGGGGCTCTAAGGAACCAGGCGCTGAGGGGGCGCTTGTTTAGGTGGGAGAAGGTGTGGTTCCCCAGGCCCGAGTTCTCTCACATCCTTTCCTTTGCAGGTGCCCAGTACCTCCGATGAGGCTTTGCTTTCTGCCACCTTAGAATGGGAGAGAAAACTGGAGGCGGCCGGGGCTCTGCTGGCTCTGAAGAACTCTCCTTGGGCTCCTCCTGATGCCCTCCCCCTGCACCAGCCCTGCAGCCCAGTAAGTTGCTTGCTCCCCTGACGGGTGAACTGGGGCTGGGAACAGTTGGAAAATGGGGTGGAGAGAGGGCATGTTGCTGCTGCGGTAAGCTGGTTCAAACTGGGAACCAGGGTCATTGGGGTGAAAGTCCTGGGTCCAGGCACCCAACTCCTCAGTTTGGCTCACGAGATGCTACTTGAGGGTTGTTCAGTGAATCATCAGCTTGTCGAGGGGCTTTGTGCCCCATCGCAAATGGCCAGTGTGCCCTGATGTCAAGAAACAAGGACACCGAGGCCCCGAGGGTACCAGGGACTTGCCCTAGGGCACACTGCATGCCCAGTGGAAGAGCTCCCAGGCAAGGACCCGCTTCCTGAACCCCTGTGCTGCGCTGCCTTCCAGGGAAGACCTACAGGCATGCTGAGGGGCTCATCTAGAAGGAGATCTGGTCCCTGCCTTTTGGGAGCTTGCAGTCTACATGTGGAGACTGCATGCCTTCCCAAGCTGTATTTTGCAGGTAAATATCAATGATGTACCCAGAGAGGAATGGCTGGGGGAACTCAGAGGAGGGTTAAACACCTAGGGAGGCTGGGAGGGAAGGATGGGCATGGCTGGACAATTATAGTGGGAGGGACATGGTGTGTGAGTGAAGAAGCAGCCCCGGAAGGTCTTCTGGCACAGAGTAGGATGGAGCTGGAGGGGTTTCCAGTCACAGAGGCCTGGCAGGCTGCACCTGGGAGGCTAGACCAGCACCCGTGGGTGTTGAGGAGCTGGGGCATGTTTCTGACCTGGCCGGGGGCATATGCAGAGACCTTGGTGGGGAGTGACCGAAGGAGGTGTGGTGGCTGTGATGGAGGGGTAGGGGAGGCAAGACTGGAGCTGGGATACCAGGCAGGAAGGGGTTTGTGCAACGGTCCCGGTGACAAGTCTTTGGTTGAGTTGGCCAGAAAAGGAGGGGAGAGCCAAGAGAGGACATGGATGTGACCTGGCTCTGGCCCTTCCCTTTCTGCCTACAGCTCTCGCCGGAGATAGAGGACTCCAGCTTCCCAGCCCCTCTGCAGGACCCAGGAGAGCGAACTACACTTCAGTGGCTATTGGACGTATGGGCTGCATCTTCCTCTTGACATAAGCACCCAGAAGAAGAGGCCTCACTAGAGCACTGCCTATTTGGTGTCCTGTTTCTGAAAGTGCAAAATGGTTAATGTTCAAAATGCTTAACGTCTTTTTTTAAGCTTTCAGGTGTTTTATAAGTTTTTGGACCCTTTCTATGCCATGGGGCAATTCTTTGACGGAGGTTGAATATTCTTGTTCCTTCATTCCTTAATTCTTTAGATGCTGGACCCTTTTATGTGACTGAGAAAAACAAGGTTGTACAACCTAAGCTAATTGGTCTCTCAATGGGGTTCTGAGAATTTTTATTTGTCCTGTGATTTTGCCCGTATGTGCACACTCATGTATGCACCTCTGAGTGCGCGTGGAAACAGGAGGATGTTTTCGCTTTGTGTCTGGGTTTGTGAACAAATAATAAACGGTTCTTGTTGCAAGGCACTGAGAAATACAGCTTGTATGTCACCACAGTATAACCTAGACAATCCTGACTCTGATAGACTAGTTCAATCCATGTGTCAAAGCGCGAGGTATTTTACTGAAAAATGGGGAGTTTACATGGCTAGATGAGAGCAAGGTAGAGGTGAATGAGTAGCAAATACATTCATTGAGCAATGGAGCACCTACCCTCTGCCTGGCGTGGACTGTTTCCGGTTGTCCAGAGGGCCACAAATGGTAAAGCCTGCAGGATAAAGCAGCAGATCAGGTAAATGAGTAGCGCAGGCCAGATGGGCTCTGGCCCATGGACAGTGCATGCTCTGCCTAAGGGGCAGTTCCTGCTTGGGGCAGGAAAGTGGCCTCATTGTTACCAAATCAACATTGTTACCAAGCCAAACATCAGTGCAAGTCAACTTTGACCAAGGGAAAACTGGCATAATCCTAGTCCAATGTGAATCTTACAGTCGGGGGAACCGAGAACAATTAGGACAAGAAGAATCAAAGAGGAGAAATGAATTAGAGTCAGGCCTTCCTTTTGAAGGACCCATGAAATGCGAGACAAAGGCACTACCTTTCATTTATTCTCTGTTCACTGTATGCTAAGCACACACGACCGACCTCTCAGCAACTCTACAAGCTGTGTTGAACAACTGGCTCACAAACGTCTGAAAGTTTAACGGTCGGCTCCAGCACTCCACTGGTTTTCACCGTTGCCCAGAAAGACTTCTCTTCCAAAGCATGTCTCACTAATACTGCGTGGCCATAAAAGGCCGTGACTTCTGGTTTCTGACCAATAACAGCTTAAAGCATGTGGGAGAGATCTCCGACACATATTGAACAGAATGAATAGCCAAAAGTGTTTATGTAGGCATGTGCATTCCTGGAGGGGGCCAACATGGGTAAAAGTGAGTGGCAGGGACACCAGAATTAGCTTTTAAACCCCATGCAGGAGTGCATTCATCAGATTTCTTCAAGGTTAAGGGAATGAGGTCAACTGGTGTTACCTGGCCATTGAATCTGTGTCTCTCATTAGAGGCGGGGTTCCCGACTCTCCCTCTTCCTGCCTAGGTAAATGCCACATCAGGTACCATACATAAACATATCCACCTTGCCCTCTTTCTCTGTAAAATACGACCTTGAGGCTACTTGCTCACCAAGTAGAGAGCAGTGTTATGAGAACAGTGTTGTATCAGGGAAAGGATGGATATGTTGACTACACTATCACTGCCTCTCGTGAAGTATTTAAAGCCACTTGTATAAAACATGTTTCTGAAAGCACTGCTTGCTCCCGTGTTCTTGTGGTGAATGGAAATAGGAACCATAATGTAATGCCGGTAGTAAAGTGCTTAAAACAAATGAATTGAAGGAAGTTTCTATCTTACTTTCTTCGTTACTGAGACAAAATACCCGACGCCCAAATTGAAAGTGAGGCAGGAAGCCGAAAGAGATGCACTCTCTTCTCTCTCAGGGAAATAGAGACCAAAAATAACAGCCTGTGGAGACCTGCCCGGCTTCAGGAAACAGAATGCAAAAACAACCCACTAAAAAAATCCCCAGCATTGGGTACTTGTACCTGTACATGATGTTATCTTGGCTCATTTTTTCCCCCATTCCCTGTCCTCCCCTCACCCCCTCCAAGTACCTAATGATAAATGTAAATGTACTGTATACCTAAAATGTACCAATAAAAGCACTTAAGCAAAAAAAAAAAAAAATATCCCCAGCAAACCCAGCTAACTGCTGGTTGCCCGCTTTCTGTAAGCTTGGCCTCTGCTTCTGTAAACCCACCTTCTGCTTTCCCACCAATGGCATGATGACTTATACCTTAACCACCCCAGGTCAGGGAGCTCAGCTTCCAGATGCTAGTCCCCTGATTCTCCTCACCTGCGAATACATACTCCTTCCAGAACTTGTGGGCTTGGCGTTGCTCTTTTTCGGCACAATTCCCAAAACATTTCTGGTACATTGGCCGGGAAGCAGATGCAGGGGCCTGCTGGTAAAACCAGCAATGTGGCCTTTGCCGGCCCCCGGCCCGAGGCCAAGGAGAGGAACAGCCGCCCCAGGATGTCTGAACTGTGGTAGAAAATTTGGGGGAACTGGTCAAGACTAGGTCCCACCAGCAAGGTGGAACGGGGCACTGATCACCTCCTTGCCACTGCCCGAGTATTTTCCTTTGGGTGGAGAAACCACCATGGCCTGAGATAGAACCTAAAAGTGGATGGCCGGCCAGCCGGCAAGAGAAAGTTGTACCTGTGTGATGAAAGTTGTGTTCCTGTGTGTGAATGAGAAGGACATCGGAAAGGTTCTGACCTGACCAAAGCACCAAAGAAGAAAGTGCAGAATCCCGACCCGTGGTTCTATGTGACCTCATAGGGCTTAGGGCAGTACTGGACCCTGGGTGTCTAATAAAAGTCAGGATCACTGGCCCGCCAATGCTAAGAGGTGCCTGAAATATCTCTGGGAGGAGAGCGGCCTGAGACAGACAAAGAGTGTACGACCTCCCCATGACACTCTCCCTCTACCCCCTCCCTCCATTGTGTCTGAGTGACATCTGATAGGGGGAGGAAATGGGTGGGACTCAGAGCAAGTTGAGCCCCCTAAAATGTATGTTAAGAAGCTTCAAGAAAGGGTTCTTTGACCCCTGGGAAGCTCTGAAGCTTCTGCGAGATTGATTGGCCCTCTTTCCAGGTGGATTGGCCACCTGAAGGCTCATTAGACCTTGACCAATATCAAGTCTCCTGGTTTATACGGGTGTATGGATGGATGAGAAAAGGCTGACTGGAAGTCTCTCGGTCACCCACTTCGTCACCTGGGCAGATATCATCCCCCATCATTCCTTTTCCCATAATTTTTCCTTTCCCTTCTTTCCTTTCCCCTACCCTTCTCACATGCCCTACCACTTTGGAACTTTTCTTCCTATTTCACAGTATCAATTATTCATTTTAATCATTTTAATCCTTATTTACACTTTCAGTTCCTCACACCAGAAAAACTATTCCCTATTTACACATGTATGTCCTATTTATTTCACTTAAGAGTATGGCCTCAATGTGCATCCATTTAGCTATAAATAGCTCTAGTTTCTCATTCTTTATGGCCGAGTAGTACTCCATTTTATAAAAAAACAAGCACATATCTTCTTTATCTACTTTCCACTTGATGGGCACTTGGGCTGTTTCCAGGCTTTAGCTCTTACAAACTGTACCGCTATGAACATGGGTGCACATATATCACTGTGGTATGATTCTTTTAATTCTTTGGGGAAGAT